TAAATTATAAATTTAATTTAACTGAAAATAATAAATTAAAATAATTAAAATATTGTGCAAAAAATAAAATAAAATAAATTTTTATTGAATCAGTTAAAAATAATTAAAATATTAAAGCTATGTTTAATATTGCTATTACTTAGTAAATAATTGAAAAGGATAAAATAGTCATTTGAGCATTTTTATCCTTCTCCATAATATCCCAAACAAACATTGGATAACTAAAAATAGTTCCAATCCAGACACTAATCCCAGACTAAACAAACATAAGATACAAATTTAGTCCAACCAAATAGCCCTGGGAACAATGTATTCCAGAACTAATAGTCCGATGGATTACAATTCCCCTTGTCCAGTCCGTCGGACTATTAGTTCTGGAATACATTGTCCTCGCGGGCTATTTGGTTGGACTAAATTTGTATCCTATGTTTGTTTAGTCATGGGATTAAATGTCTGGATTGGACTATTTTTAGTTATCCAATGTTTGGTTAGATGGACTGGATAATGATAAATGTTCAAAAGACTATTTTACTCTTGTAATTTATAATTTTTATTTAATATATAATTTTTAAATTTGTAATCATAATTATAATTTAACAACACTAAAAAAATTTAATTATAAGGTCATAATTTTTCATTTATTATTTTCAAATTAAATTAAATTTATAATTTATAATTTATATTTTTTATTTAATATATAATTTTTTAAATTAGCGACAATAAAAAATAATTTTATTTAATATATAAATTAAATTTTCAACAGCACTAAAAAATTTAATTGATAAGGCCATAATTTAATAATTTATTTTTTTAAATAAATTTAATTTATAATTTATTTTTTTATTTAATATATAATTTTAAATTAACAACACATAAAAAATAATTTTATTTCAATATATAAATTAAATTTTCAACAAACACTAAAAAAATTAATTTATAAGGGCATAATTTATAATTATATTTTAAATAAATTTAATTTATAATTTATTTTTTATTATATAATAATTTTTAAATTAAACACACTAAAAAATTAATTTTATTTAATATATTAATTAAATTTTCAACAGCACTAAAAAAATTTAATTATTAAGGCCATAATTTTTAATTTATTATTTTTAATTAAATTTAATTTATAATTTAATTTTTTATTTAATATATAATTTTAAATTAAAAACACTAAAAAAATAATTTATAAATGTTCACAAGAACCATTTTACCATTTTTCTAATTATTTGCTAAGCAACAGCATAGGGTAAAATGGACATTCAGAGCCTAATTCCCATGGATGCCAATCCTATGGAAATAATCTCACCTCCCATGGGATAGGATAGTCCCACAAATATGGGACTAATAGTCCATGGGATGGGATAGGATAGTCCCACATATATGAATTTATAGTTGTCAAATCGTGAAATTCAATCTGTGATGCTATGATGTTGAACTTGAGTGATTGCTTCCCATGAATTTACTTGAGTTATTGTGTGCGTGTGATCTCTAAGTTTATATTGCAAGGCTTCCTATTCTTGACCAAAACAATGTAGATAGATTTTCATTAGCAGTGACTGAAAGTCTGTCACTGCTGAATTGTTCACAGCAGTGACAGATTTTCTTGCCAGGCAATAAGCTCTGTGGCAAATTTGCAGCAACTCTTTCTTGCTGGAAATAAGCTCCTCTGACAAAGTCATGTTGTAAAGCTAATATTTTAGTGAAATAAAATTTAGATTTTCAGTGCCTAGATAAGCCTCTTTGTTGCTGTTTTTATTATCTGTTTTTGGGTAGAAATTGCTTGCATGGAAGTTGAATGTTTGTGTAGAAAAATCAGATTTACATGTGTTGTGTTTGTGCCTGGTTATGCCCTGTTTGTGGCTGTTTTTTCTATTATTAACTTCTTCTTTTTTTGTTTGTTTTTGAATTTATGTCTTTTTTTCCCTTGTGTCACCCGTTGTAAAAACTGTTGACATTGATCAGATTCAAAATGATTGAAGATGTACTTAATTTAAGCTTTCTTGACCGTGGAAAACTACTTCACTTTTACCCAATGTTGTGGGTGCTAATTAGACATTGAACATGGTTCTTCTCTCTGAGCTCAACGTCGATTGGTTCTATGCTTATTCTGGAAATCTGCTATCAAGTTTTCTCTTCTATGTTGATGAAGTGTTTGAGCACTGAGAGAGGGTCATCTACACCTTCTTTTTCTAGTCAGAGTCTCTTTTTATATTTAATGCATCTACTGGAGCGCATTATGGCTCTGTTCCAATGAATTTTCAGAGTATGAAAGTTGGGAACCTCCTCACCTAACAGAAGGAGGAACACAAATCAGCACAAATAGAGCACATGATAGAAGATCAAGAAAGCGTACAGTTTCAGATATGTTGAATTGAATCTCTCTTACATCTAAGTAAGGTGCATCTAAAAAAGTAAAAAAAAATGTTTAAAATTTTAAAAATATTCACTAAAAACAAAAAAATACGAAAACTAAAAAAGTCAATTTTCAAAAAACTTAATCCAAAAAACTCAAACCAACCACACTGATTAGTATTCAACGTGGGCAATGTTTGGTGTCGCTTACAGGATTATTTTTTTTAAAATATTCATGTCAAAATAGTTGTTACAATTTATAAGATAAAAATACGTTAAATAAATTAATTATTCAAAAGTAAAAAATATAATATTATTAGTAACTTTTTCCTATGATTGTCAACTTTTAATTGCACTAAATATGCTCTTATTGTACTTTTTTTGAATTCTAAAGATCATGATTGAAATTTACCTTCAACTTATTTATTGTTTAAAGAGACAAATAATAAAGCTATCTTGCTAGTCAATCAATTCGGAGATATGCAGCTTCAAATTATAATAATAAAAAGTGGCTATGGGATTTGGGGGTGGGCATGAAAGTAAAAAACAATTGAATTTGTTGGTAAAGGTTAAAATCAACTATTTTATATGTCATTAGTTTCTTTACATGAGGTTGTGTCGCAGTCTCAATGAAAGTTTTCATCAATTTATATTTTTTATTTAATATATAATTTTTAATTTATAATTTAACAACACTAAAATTTTTTAATTTATAAGGCCATAATTTATAATTTATATTTTTTATTTAATATATAATTTTAAATTAATGACAATAAAAAATAATTTTATTTAATATATAAATTAAATTTTCAACAGCACTAAAAAAATTTAATTTATAAGGCCATAATTTTTAATTTATTATTTTTAATTAAATTTAATTTATAATTTAAATTTTTTATTTAATATATAATTTTAAATTAATGACAATAAAAAATAATTTTATTTAATATATAAATTAAATTTTCAACAGCACTAAAAAAATTTAATTTATAAGGCCATAATTTTTAATTTATTATTTTTAATTAAATTTAATTTATAATTTAAATTTTTTATTTAATATATAATTTTAAATTAAAAACACTAAAAAAATAATTTATAAATGTTCAAAAGACCATTTTACCATTTTCTAATTATTTGCTAAGCAACAGCATAGGGTAAAATGGACATTTCAGAGCCTAATTCCCATGGGATGCCAATCCTATGGAAATAATCTCACCTCCCATGGGATAGGATAGTCCCACAAATATGGGACTAATAGTCCATGGGATGGGATAGGATAGTCCCACATATATGAATTTATAGTTGTCAAATCGTGAAATTCAATCTGTGATGCTATGATGTTGAACTTGAGTGATTGCTTCCTCATGAATTTACTTGAGTTATTGTGTGCGTGTGATCTCTAAGTTTATATTGCAAGGCTTCCTATTCTTGACCAAAACAATGTAGATAGATTTTCATAGCAGTGACTGAAAGTCTGTCACTGCTGAATTTGTTCACAGCAGTGACAGATTTTCTTGCAGGCAATAAGCTCTGTGGCAAATTTGCAGCAACTCTTTCTTGCTGGAAATAAGCTCTCTGACAAAGTCATGTGTAAAGCTAATATTTTAGTGAATAAAATTTAGATTTTCAGTGCCTAGATAAGCCTCTTTGTTGCTGTTTTTATTATCTGTTTTTGGGTAGAAATTGCTTGCATGAAGTTGAATGTTTGTGTAGAAAAAATCAGATTTACATGTGTTGTGTTTGTGCCTGGTTATGCCCTGTTTGTGGCTGTTTTTTTCTATTATTAACTTCTTCTTTTTTTTGTTTGTTTTTGAATTTATGTTCTTTTTTTCCCTTGTGTCACCCGTGTAAAAACTGTTGACATTGATCAGATTCAAATGATTGAAGATGTACTTAATTTAAGCTTTCTTGACCGTGGAAAACTACTTTCACTTTTACCCAATGTTGTGGGTGCTAATTAGACATTTGAACATGGTCTTCTCTCTGAGCTCAACGTCGATGGTTCTATGCTTAGTTCTGGAAATCTGCTATCAAGTTTCTCTTCTATTGTTGATGAAGTGTTTGAGCATGAGAGAGGGTCATCTACACCTTCTTTTTCTAGTCAGAGTCTCTTTTTATGATTTAATGCATCTACTGGAGCGCATTATGGCTCTGTTCCAATGAATTTTCAGAGTATGAAAGTTGGAACCTCCTCACCTAAACAGAAGGGAGGAACACAAATAGCACAAATAGCACATGATAGAAGATCAAGAAAGCGTACAGTTTCAGATATGTTGAATTTGATTCCATCACTTCAATGTTTAGAGCTCTAGTCAGGATTTAGTAAGAGAAGAAAAATCATGGATTCGGGATTCAGTCATCAGACTTCACCACAGTCACTCATTTCATCGGAGATGATTGGCAAAACTGAAGGTTACGGTTATGCAAGTGTAATTGCTAAAGAAAATAAAGGAAATGCACCCTCTAGCATATATGTTTCAGCTCTTCTTCATGTGGTCAGGCACTGCTCACTTTGTTTCAAGCATGCTTGACTATCTAGCCAGATGGATGCACTTGACATTCCATATGTTATCATTCTGTAGAGGCAGATAGCATCAAGAAGTTAGTGGCAGATATCCAAAGGCTCTCCAATGCTAGAATGTTTGCACTTGGAATGCAAAAACTGCTTGGAGTAAGACCAGATGAAAAACTAGAAGAAGACAGTGCATACTCCGATGGTAAAGCAACAACTGGAGCAAAAAGTGCTTTCGAGGCATCTGACAAATTTTTGGAATAGATGAGGAGGGCTTTTCGCATTGAGGCAGTTGGGCTCATGAGTTTGTGGTTTAGTTTTGGTTCGGGGGTACTTGCTTGCTTTGTTGTCGAGTGGGAGTCCGGTAAAGAGGGATCCATGATGCATGTTTCTCCCGACCAGCTTTTGCCTCATACCTGTTGAGAATCGGGGGCACACCAGGGAACTCAAATAAGCAATAACACACAAGATTTAACGTGGTTCGGCAAGTCGCCAACGTCCACGGGCAGCGGATTCACTATATTGAACAAAATTGTAATTACAACACTCTGTAATTCTCACTTTCTCCTTTGCTCTCTAAGCCTCTCACCTCTCAGCTGTGCCTCAACTCTCCTTAGCTTCTCTATATATAGAGATTACAAATGCAAGAGGAATTGAGTTGGCTGCCAGCCTATTTCGGTGGCTTTCCCTTCATGGCCTCATGGTATGGCCTCATGGCCTCATGGCCAACTCATGGTTTCCCCACCATGTAGCTGGCTGCTACTTTCCTTCACATGGAAGAATCTGTAGCCAACTCAACAAATCTCCACCTTGGCGAGGATTCTCTTATCCAACATAGTGATCGATCAACACTGCCATGCACCCGAAGGTGCTCAGTTCCGAGAGATGTTGACCAAGTCCAAACAATGTTGGAACTTGATCCCAGAAACTACCTTTGTGAGCATATCGGCCGGATTATCTGCAGTACCAATAGAGTTTGCAGAGTGCCTTGGGCACTAGATTGACTTTTAGTATGGCTTACCAGTGGCTGACACGTGGTTGACTGTCGGACGCGGGGCGCTGACGTGGTGGATGACGTGGCGCTGACGCGGTGCTGGCGTGGCGCTGACGTGGTACCACGTGGCTCGTCTTCTCCCTGGAGACGCGCGTGTGGCGCGTGGGTGCGACTGGGATCACGCGCCGGTTGCCTGAACGGCGCGTGGTGGCGCGTGGTGAGACTGGGGCTCACGCGCTTTGTTCAGATAGCGCGTGAGGGTGCGTGTGAAGGCTTCTGGGCTCTGTTTTTGCTGTTCTGGACTCCTCTCGGGGAGTTCTTCCTCCTGGTATGGTCAAAAGTGGATTTTGAGCACTTCGAAATCTGGGCACTTTCGGGAAAAATTCGATTTTTCGCAACCCGAGCTCTGATACCAATTGTTGAGAATCGGGGGCACACCAGGGAACTCAAATAAGCAATAACACACAAGATTTAACGTGGTTCGGCAAGTCGCCTACGTCCACGGGCAGCGGATTCACTATATTGAACAAACTTGTAATTACAACACTCTGTAATTCTCACTTTCTCCTTTGCTCTCTAAGCCTCTCACCTCTCAGCTGTGCCTCAACTCTCCTTAGCTTCTCTATATATAGAGATTACAAATGCAAGAGGAATTGAGCTGGCTGCCAGCCTATTTCGGTGCAGTTGGGCTCATGAGTTTGTGGTTTAGTTTTGGTTCGGGGGTACTTGCTTGCTTTGTTGTCGAGTGGGAGTCCGGTAAAGAGGGATCCACGATGCATGTTTCTCCCGACCAGCTTTTGCCTCATACCAAGGTTTGTCTGTTTTATTTTCTATCTTTATTGTGTTTCCATTGTTCGGATTTGACTTAATCTCCAACCCCAGAACCAAATACTTCCCTAGAGCTTGGCCATTCCAGATGGACTGAGCTGTTTTTCTTTTTCTTTTTTTCTTTTTTTTTTTGTTTGTTTTTGACTTTCTGAGCTGCCCCTCCTAAATATTTAGTCTAATGGAAATCAACCTACTTCAATTATTTTCCTTTCTTTTTTTTTTGAAATGTTACGGAGGTATTTTTGTATATATATACACTGCAAGGTTGTTATAAGGTAGGGTTAAACTTGAGATATGCTTCACAGTAGCCACATGTTAGCTACAGGTTAAGACAGTTGCAGTCAGAGTCAGTGAGGAAGCTACTTATGGCCTAAGGTCTCCAAAATTCATCCAATAACCCTCTATTTTGGAGTATTTCTATAATGTATATGACATGGTCCCTAAATTTTTCCAAAATTCTTTTGGTTTTCCTATATTTCATGATTATTTTTACAGTGTATATGGGATGACTATTCACATATTAATATTATATAATAGCATCAGTGTGTGTACTTTGGCACCCCAAAAAAATATAATATGTAAAAGCATTTTTTTTTCAAATACAAAAATCATAGAGGTATTTTTTTTTTTCATTCATAGAAGTATTTTTTTTTAAATAAAGCAGCTACTGTGAAAATAATATAACAAAAATGAGGATCAAGGTAAGTTGTAGTTTCCTAATCAGTTAGTTGAGCTACTTAAGCAATGCAGCTCTCCTCCAAGGAGCTACTTCTTTACCTCTCCATCTCCCAAATGACCCTTTAGATGTTGTCATTTTTGGCAGATTATACTCCAATGGGTGTGAATGATCTAAACATCACTTTGGATAAAGTCATGCCAATGAACCTTATGTAGTAATGCCATTTTATTCAGATATTCTCAGCCATTTGGGTTCACCAGGTAAGTCTAAACTAAATCTGGACAGCCTTATCAGATTGTTTTTGGGTAACTTTTGCCACTATATAAAATTAATTATCACAGTTTCATGTGGTTACCACCCAATTTTGGGTAGCTTTTGTCCATTTTGAATTTGTCAGAGCGATGGGTTGTTTCTTTGGCAGCTTCCGGATCAGAGACGATCATCGCCATCCCCAGACTCATCTCGTCTCAGAGCCACTCCCTTCGAAGCTCAGAGTACTCCTCTGTGTGTGTGTGTGTGTGTGTGTGTGTGTTAAATTCTCTCTTTTCTTGTTCTGAATTGTGAGTTTTGTTGTTCGTTTTTCTGTTTCTAAATCAGGAACCTGTTGTATCTCGGAATCCTCTGTCATCTCTACTACTCACTGATGGTAATTTGTTTTTATTGTCTGTTGATTCAATGTTAATTCGATTCTCTTAGATCTTGTTTCATTCCAAAGAATTGTAGTATATATTGAGTTTTTTTTCAGCTTTAAATGGATAATTTCACCATTTGGGGAGAAATTTTTGATTTTTATGTGTTTATATGTTACATTATATGTATACAAATAGTCATTTATTTCCTGAATTCTAACTAGTATTTATTTTAATTTTAATTTTGTTTATTGTTAAATTGAAGATAAAGATGGATTGCCATATAAGGATAAGGAAAATCCATGCCTATGTTCACTGGTTCTTGGTATGCTATTACTTGTGTTTTAGCTCACCCTATTCCTCATATATGTATATTGGGGATGAGGTTTGAACAGTGGGCGTTTGAACAGTGGGCTTCCTGTTTTGGTTGTGTATACATGTTGTGTGAATACTACTGTTTGCTCGTAGACTTGGCTTGGAACTTTTTGTTTTGTTTTGGATCATTGTATATATCGAGACATTACGGGTATGTTTGGTTTGTGTTTGAGAGATGTGTTTTAGAGATAAAAAGTACAAAAAGTTGTTTGGTTTGGTTTTTTTCAAAAGATGTTTTGGAAAATTATTTTGAGAGAGAGTTTTGGAAAAAGTGATTGATTTGATGTGTGTGAGAGAGAGATTTGTTTGGAAAACTTGTTTGGTTTACAAGTTTTGAGAAATTTTTTTGGGAAAATTTGTTTGGTTTGATTACTTTTAAAAACTTATTTGTAGAGAAAATTTCCCAAAATTTTTTCAGAAATACAAACCAAACGAAGTCTCTTTTGATTTGTACTTCTTAATTTATGTTATCATTTGTATTTGTGCCATAAGTTGGTAAATTTAATGTATGAAAGTTCATTTCACTTGAGTTAAGCACTTGCTTTGATGGGTTTATTGTATTAGGAATTTGGGATTGTACACGTTTTATATCAGTATACTTTAGCTTTGAATTTGCTTTTCTTCTCTCTCTCTCTCTCTCTCTCTCTATATATATATATATATATATAATATTAAAAATAACCTTCTACGGCATATAAAATTATGTCATGGAAAGTGTAATAACTTATGACATGCAAGAAAATGCTGTAAAAGATTATATACGGTATACAAAGTATATCAAAAATATACTAAAAATAATCTTTTACGGCATATAAAATTATGTTATGAAAAGTGTAATAATGCATAACATGCAAGAAAATGTCGTAAAAGATTATATACGGCATACATAGTATGTCATAAATATATTAAAAATAATCTTCTACGACATATAAAATTATGTCATGGAAAGTATGATGATTTATGGCATGACAAAAAAAAATTGTAAAAAATTATATACGATATACAAAGTATGTTATTAATGTTTAATTTATTATTTTTTACAACTTTACCTGCATGTTATAAATGACGCTCAACTTTTCACGGCATCTCATATAACGGCATTTGTGTGCATGCCGTGAAAGAGTTTCTATGACATGTATTGTAAGTCGTAAAAATTCAATTTTGTTGTAGTGTATATGTCTATTTTTGTATAAGAGATTAACAAAGAGAGATAGAGAGAATTCTACTAATAAAAATTTCATCACCATGAAAATTAACAAATAAATTACAGTATCGACTGATACAAAAGTAGCCACAAAATAGATTATATATGTAAATTGTTAACAGTCAATTCATCTAAAAACTTAAGTCATTATAGAGGGCATTCTAACTTAAGCTTATCCCATACTCATGTATATTTGGCAAAATATTAGAAACTACAAACACGATATTCGTGCATTGATAATACCCTCTGCAACTTAAGCTATTAGAGAAAAGAGTTGACTTTTTATTTATTTATTTTGTCTTACACACTTACTTAGAAGCTTCACCACACTGTAATTATTAGATGATAAGATTGACATTTGACACACACACAGCCAAAGGTGTCAATTACTTGAGATGGTGAGTCTCAATATCTTTGGTGACATTGATGAGGAAATCCATCAACGTATTTGGATCTTCAACATTCTCACTCTTCTTCTCATACTCAAAAGTCCAGGTCACCAAGTTGTTTTCGCCCTTCGTATCGACATGGACAGTGCCTTTGAATGCCTTGTACAGCTCTCTGAGATCTCCATCAATAACCTTGTGGGCCACTGACTTGTTTTCCTCATCTATTGCTTCGACAACCACCTTAGCAACCTTCTTTTTCCCATCTACACCATCATCCAAAAATTTACCCAGTTCAAGAAATAGATTAAGGTCTCGTTTGAAAATAAATTATTTTAAGTAATTTTTTAGTTTTTTAGTTAAAATATGAGATTAAAAAAATTAATATATTTAGAATATTTTTTAGTTTTGTACGAAAAGATGTGCAAAAAGTAGAGAAAAAATAAAATCTAACTTTTTGAAATAGATTGTTGGTTTTTTAATTTTTTTAGTGTCTTTTTGACTTTTAGGCTAAAATAATAAATTGCCAAACAAGGCCTAAATGTGAGGTGGCTTTTTTTTTTTTTAGTATTTTATGTGAATTTGAGTAATTGAATTTTTTTTTTTTAAATGATCAATAAAACAACATATATACTTCTGCAACATGATTTTAAATAACTATTGCGATATAAATTGATATCAGCAATGCTCATAAATCAGTCATTATCAGATATGATTAACCTATATATAAATAACAACATTAAAAGTTCAAAATCTTAATATGTAACTGATGTTACAATACAAAACAACTGATATTTAAAACTTGAGTAAGAATTATATATTGACACCTAAGAATGAGATTGTATAAAAGAGATGATGAGTACACCATTAGATTCACAAGATCATGGTCTATAAGAACACAAAATGCTGGTTCATATATAAATTCATTTTTATCATTTCCAAGAGATGACAGAGCCAACATGTCCCCAATCACCTTCATGCAAATCGACACCATGTCACCAGGGCACATGGTGGAGATATGGTGTGGTTTGTGTCTAAACAATTCATGGAACACATCACCATCAGACTTGATCTATAAATTTGAATCTTATCAATTTTTTATCATCTTTTTTTTTTTTTTTTTTTCCACATCAAATCTTCCAATCAAACACAACCTAAATTCCATTCCCCATCGATGACTGGGTTGGCGTTTTGAGTCGGTTGAGTCTAACCTAATTTCGACCATTGTGGTCAAATCCATTCATCACCGAGCAAATTAAAGCCTCCTTTAGAAACTAGCTATTTTAGTAATTTTTAACTTTTTATGCAAAGATGTACAGAAAAATAGAGAGAGTGATATGACAAGTTATAGTGACTTTTTGACTAAAACTGAAGGTTGTCAAACGAGGTCTAAAAATACAGATCAATAGATTATGGACTTGGCCACTTAGAGACCTGGACCTGAACTTTATTATGGACCACGAATTCGTTCTTTATTTATTTTCATATAGGTTATGATAAGTAAATTTATTGTTCAATAGGTTCTATGCTAATTGATGACTTTTTTTACCAAATATTATTAAAAAAAGTCACTAATTATTAATTTTCAGTGACAGTTTAAAAATTGTCACAAAAATGTCATTAATTATAAATTTTAGCAACAATTTAAAAAATCATCATGAAAAAAAAATCACTAATTTTTAACTTTAAGCAATAATTTAAAAAATTCGTCATAGAAATGTTACTAATTGTAAGTTTTAACGACAATTTATAAAAATCGTAATTGTAAATTTTCCACTTATCTTTGGTATAAGGAAAAAGGAAAAAAAGAAAAGAAAAAAGAAAGGTGTTAAATTAGGGTTAATTGGTGTTGGTGTTGGTGTAGGCTTACCATGAGTGTAGTTCCAAGAAATGACAGAGCCAACATGTCCCCAATCACCTTCATGCAAATCAACGCCATGTATGTTACCAGGGGACATGGTGGAGATATGGTGTGGTTTGTCTCTAAAGAGTTCATGGAACACATCACCATCAGACTTGATCTCTACTTGCCTTACCAACTTACCAGTTAGACCCATCTCAACAATCACCCTCCCCACAAACAAACCCAAAGTATTATCAAACAATGGATGATAGAACTGAAGGCAAGAGTTGGAGAAAAATACTTGGCTCTTGAGCCTTTATATAGTGGAAAAGCTGTGAGTTGGTTTAGAGGGTAGGTATGTCCTTAATTGGTCCTTGTATTTGTTCTTAGACATGTCACACAATGGCTTCTTTAGGCTATATTTGATTGTGAAATTATTTTTTCTGTGGTTAAATACGATGGATTATTAATAAGATTGTGAGATATAGGTTACATTATGGAATTAGATGAGAAAAATAATTAAATATATGATATGATTATAGATAAAATAATAAGGGATAAGTTATGTCATGAGATAATAAATTGAATAAATCATCAGATGGAAGGAATAAAATATTTTTGATTGTGATGAAATAAAAATATTTTAATATTTTTTACCCTTCAAGAATAACAATTATGTGAAGAGGTATAATCATTATAATACTACAATTCTTAATTTCTTTTCATCTCTAATCATTTTCTTCTTATCCCACACTCAAATATCGAATTAAAAATCTAATGAACCCCGCATATTCCCTCCACTTTCAATCCCCTTCTTAATATCCCAAACAAATGTGCTCTTAACATATAAAGTTTATAATACATGGGACTTAATTGTCTCCAGTTGGTCAAAATCGTCTAGTTCAGTCTACTGTGGGTCGATTTAGTGCTTCTCCATTATATAAGGAAAATAATCTTTTTTAACCCACAAACTTTGTGGGAACTCTATTATTCCAATCCTTATTCCTCAATTTTCTGATTTAAAAAAAACAAAACTTTTCCACCCTATGATTTAAATAATATATAGATATTTACCTAAATCTCATTACCCCTATCACAGTAGCCTAAAGTTTGGGAGAGAGTGAATAACCTAAACCTAATGCAGCAGCCTAAACCTAAACCTATCATAGCAGCCTAATCCTTACGTAGCAGCAACAACCTACACAGTAGTTTAGGAGAAAGATTAAGACAGCATCTTGGAATGAAAACATTTCAAAATCTGTAAGTAAATCATTTATTTTTTAATATGGTGACTATATTTTTAAATTGATTAAGAATGATTATATTAATTAGGTTTACATAAAGTATTAACTATTGATGATTAAGAATGATTGTATTCATTAGATTCACATAAAGTATTAACTATTGATGATGATTGGACTGTATTTTGTCAGTGTGATTGGACTTACTTTATTTTTTAATACGGTGATTGTATTTTTAATCTATGTTTTTTTTTTAATAAAAAAAAATAGATTGTATTCATTATGTTCACATAAAGTACGCAATATTGATGATGATGATTAGATTACATTTTGTAATTGGATTTTTTAATTCATTGTATTCATTATGCTTTTTAACTATTAATTAATTTAATTTGTAATTGAGTTTTTAACTCATTATTTTTTTTGAAAAAAAACATAATTGTATTTTTTAATTACCAAT